CGTCTTTCTCACCATATCAACCCAATAAAACATTCACAATTTAAAATCCTTTCTCACTAAAAGCCTTTACATTTCTATTACACTTTTTACTAAAAATACATCCTTAGAGCCTATGAGTTGACTTGGTGGGTAAAGGTATTTGTCACCAAGCTTGACCACCTTAATTAGATCCCTGAGACCTCATGGTTGAAGGAGAGAACCACCTCCTGGAAGTTGTCCTTTCAACCCCACACTGGAAGTTGTCCCTTCAACTCCACAGGTGTACCGTGGTACTGGAGGTCCCTCTCCCCACCCTCTCTCTCTCTGCCCCCTGCCAAACATATCAATAAAAATAAATAAATGTAACTTAAAACATATGTTTAGCAGTTATATCTTCTCCCTGCTGGATTCTTTTTCTTGTTTTTCAGTATCATAAAGACAGACAAAACAAATAAAGTTACCTATTAAACAGGAGTTACCACTCAATTCACATTTATGATATGACGGAACAAATGAAGATTTTCTTCTTATGGATAAGGCATTGTCCCTTGCTGGGCTTAGACAGACTTTGTCACTTGGGTTTTTGTTGTTTTCTCGTGTTTTTAGTTTACTTTTTTTTTTAATTTTATTTATTTATTTTTTTTAGTTTACTTTTTAAAAAACTGAGTGTTGTGTATGTTATATGCTGTGATGTGTGCGAAGTCAGAAGAGAGCTTCAGTTCTCTTTGTGCAGTATGTGGGTTCTGGGAGTCACACTCAGGTTGTCAGACTTGTCGAAGGCAGCTTTACCCACTGACCCACCCATTTTGCAGGCCTACTGTGTTGTTGTTTTGGTGTTGGTGTTGGTGTGTGTGTGTCCCAAAAGTCTTGCTTCAGGCTTATTTATGGCATATAGAACCGAGAGTAACCTTAAATTCCCCTGTACACCAGAAGAGGGCACCAGATCTCATTATGTACAGCCATGTATGGTTGTGGGCCACCATGTTGTTGCTGGGAATTGAACTCAGGACCTCTGGAAGAGCAGCCAGTGCTCTTAACCTCTGAGGCATCTCTCCAGCCCGCTGGGATTATTTTTGTCCATTATTTTAGTCAGGCTGACTGTGACTTTGAAGACTGAATATTTGATTATTGTCCACGGAGAAGAGGGGAATATACTGCATGTTCCCATGCTGGTGCCAGTTTATCTTTGCCTTGTGTATATAGATGTGATTTTTGTACACAAGATGTGATTCTGGTACACCATCTCTTCTCAATAGTCAGTTCTGTTTCAAGATTGCTGAGTAAAGACTGATTTCTTTCATTCAGTGTATTTGTCTGAGTCGATAGCTTAGTGCTGTGATTATTGTATCAGTCTTTTGTTTATGTAAGGCAAATTTTATATTCTTACTTAAATAATAAATAACTGTTGGACATTGATTTCAACTACTTTGATAAAATAGACTTATATTCTTTAGTTATTTTTCTATAGGTATGATTAAATAAAAATCTGACAGGCAAGCTAAGGGAGAAAGATCTGGTCCACAGATTAGAGGACAGTTTGCCTTGGTGGGGAAGTAAGGTAAACAAGCAGGTGAAGTAGATGCTCATGCCATCAGGAAACAAAATGATGAATAAATGCTGATTCTCAGGTCACTGTCTTCATTTTATACAGTCTAGAGTCCTCTACCTAGGGAATGATCCTACCCACAATCAAGGTGGATATGCCTACACCAGTTAATGCAATCAATATAATCTCTCAGAGACATTCTCAAAGGCTAACCTCAGTCTAGATACCTCTCATGGGTGCACATGGAGGCATGCCTCTCGGATGACTCTGGAGTCTGTCAGGTTGATAATATTAACCATCACAACATTAACATTAACATCCAGCCCTTGTCAGCTTGACACCTAGACTTATCATCACTTTTAAGCCATAACCTTCGGCCCCTTATCTCCATAGACTGATGACCATGTTATAATGTAATATACATTTATCCCTACACCAAAACCTCCCCATAGTCATTAAGCATGTTTAAACAATTTGAGATTCCAAAGTATCTTAACTGTGAGGTCCTATAAAATGAAGTTACATACATCCAATATATACATTTACTTATTTACTCATTTATTTTTATTTTATGTGCAGTGATGTTTTGCCTGCATGTATGTCTGTGTGAAGGTGACAGATCTCCCGTAACTGGAGTTACAGACAGTTGTGAACTGCCATGTGGGTGCTAGGAATTGAACCCAGGTCCTCTGGAAAAGTAGCCAGTGCTCTTAACTGCTGAGCCATCTCTCCAGCCCTGCATAATTCCAAATATATAATGGCCCAGAGCAAACATTCCTGTTATAAAATGGAAGAATTGGAAGAATTGGGGCAAGCTATGGTGGACCAAAATAAGATACCAATCCAGCAAGGCAAACATCAAATCCTACATCTCTGTCCCTGACATCTAAATTTGATGAAATTGTCTACATTCCTAAGGGTAGGTAGCACCACCACCCCAGAGCTGCTGCCTGCATCACATATCGTCTGTGTCTTGGACTGGACTCTGTGCCTATAGCTGTCCTTGGCAGAGAGCTGTTGTTAAGGTCCTGGTATCTCTAGTATCCTGTGGTCTCCAATAGACTTCACCTTCAGAACTCTACACATTGACTTCTGAGGCCCACTTGGCAGGAACTCTTGACTCTCCTAAAAGGTGCCTGACCTCAGCTGTTCTGTATGACCTCCCTGTCTGACATCCTTCATTCCTTCAAAACTAGTACCATGTGGATGCCAGTGCCCATTTCTACAGCCACCTCAGGTTGGAGCCTCTGGTTTTGCCCTCAGGCCATCTTTCTTCTTGTTTCAATGTGCCCTAATAGGTTTTCCTCTAGTGACACTGATGTTTTTATCAATTACAGCTGCTCACAGACATGGCCCATTAAGCCCTGCTTTTGGCATTCAAAGGCTTTTCTAACCCAAATACCAAATTTTTCCATGTTCCTCCCACAAACAATGCCTAAGATGGTCATTTTATCACATAAACAGCCCCAGTATAGGGTACCAGTTTTCTCTTTCCTGGTTGCTGGGTTAAAATACCCTGGTGAAAGTAACTGGATGAAGGATTGGCTGAGTTACGTGGCAGAGAGGTCAGGGTGTCTGGAGGTTGGATTAGCTGCCCACATGACCCACAAACAGGAAGCACAACCTGATGAATGATACTGATGCTTAGCTCCTTTCTTCATTTTATACAGTTCAGGATCCCCCTGCTCAGGAATGCTACCACCAACACTTAAGATGTTTGTTCCCACATCAAGTAATGTAATCTAGATAATCACAAATGTACCAGGGGCTTGCATCCTACATGATTATACATTCTATAAGGTGACAACCTTAACCATCACACTTCATAAAAGTTTGTTACAGAATGTACAAAATTTTGTACATGTCTGTGACAGGTGACATGGTGGCTAGTTAGAGCTGCTTCCAGAACATGTGGCATTCTTGTTTCATTGTCTACTGACATTCTCCAATAAAAATGGAAATGTTAATTTATTAGTACAATGAATTGCCCATAATCAGTACTGTCTTAAGTTTTGTGTTTAGTTGCTGTGACAAAATTCCTAAGAAGAAATGTTTTGTTTTTAATTATTTTGTTACTTATTTGTGTGTGTGTGTGTGTGTGTGTGTGTGTGTGTGTGTGTGTGTGTGTACACACGTGTATCTCCCTTCCCCAAGAGAAGCCAGAAGGAGGCATTAGATCCTCTGGAACTGGAGTTACAAGTGGTTGTGAATTGTGTGATATGAGTAGAGTTTCTGTTGCTGAGGTAAAATACTATAATCAAAAGCATCCTAGGGAGGAAAGTGTTTATTTCAAATCACAGTTCCACATCATAGCCCATTACTGAGGGAAGTTAGGGCAGGAACTCAAAAAAGACAGGAACCTGGAAGCGGGAGTTGATGCAGAGGCCATGGAGGAATGTTGCTAACTATCTTGCTCCCCATGGCTTGCTCTGCCAGGACCACCTGCCCAGGGGCGGCACTATCCACAGGGAGCTGGGCCCTTCCACATCAATCATCAGTCAAGAAAATATATTGCAGATTTGTCCATGGACTAATCTGATGGCGGCATTTTTTTTTTTTTTCCTTTTTTGAGACAGAGTCTCACTATATAGCCCTGGCTGTCCTGGAACTCACTGTGTAGACCAGGCTGGCCTCAAAACTCACAGAGATGTGCCTGCCTCTCCCTCCCAAGTACTGGGATTAAAGGTGTGAACCACTCTGCCCAGCACTGGGGGCCAATTTTCAATTGAGGTTACTTCCCAAACAGTCTAGCTGGTGTCAAGTTGACCTAAAACTAGCCAGCATACTGGTCCTCACAAGAGCAGTGAGTGCTCCTGATCCCCCAGCCATCTCTCCAGCTCCCCTAAGAAGAAATCTTTGGGGAGGATAGGCTGTTTTGGCTCACAGAGCATCGTGGCTGGGAAGGCATTGCAGGAAGATCTTGAGGTGCCTTGTCACACTGGGTCTCTGAATAGATTGGGTTCTAACCTGTGTCTGATGAGCACTTACAAACATTACAAGAATTCTGAGAGAAAATAGATACTGTAAAAGTGGTGTGTGATTGATATCAACTGTTGAGAAAGCTACTTCTTTCTTTACAGTTGGGATGGGGGAGGAATCCCTCTGAATAGCAGCTGCAGACACCAGGAGAAGTAGAATTGTCTTCTGCATTACTAAGAATGCAGTCTTAGGACAGCTGGTTTGCGACATTAGACAATCAGAATTCATTGTAAATGTTGAACCAAAGTACAAAGAGAGGTTAGCACAACCTAGCTAAACAAGGATGGACCTATCCTGTTGTTGTCTTACCAGATAGCTCCAATCTACTGTCAGAATTACCGCGTGAGAGATTCTTAGTGTGTATGAAATGTAAGTGTGATGACCAAGATAAACGCACATAGAACATTGAATCTTACCAACTTCTTATGAGTTAAGATTAGCTTTCCAGTACTGTAAGACTCACACTTCTTGTGGAAATGTATGTGGGCTCTTTCAGGAGTCAGTAACCTTTGAGGATGTGGCTGTGAACTTCTCCCTAGAGGAGTGGGCTATGCTGAATCCATCCCAGAAGAACCTCTACAAAGATGTGATGCAGGAAACCTTGAGGAACCTGGCCACTATAGGTGAGCATGTCATCATTCCTTTAGTCAGTCAGTCAAAGAAAAAGTGCTTCTGTGTAAGTTTAAGTATGGTAAAGAAACATTTAGGTGAATATGTGAGATGGATCACTTTTTTAATTTTTATTTTTATTTCATGTGCCTTGGTGTTTTACCATGGGTGTTGGCTCGCTGGAAATAGAGTTACAGACAGTTGTGAGCTACCATGTGGGTGCTGAGAATTGGACCCGTGGCCTCTGGAGAAGTCAGTACTCTTAACCACTAAGCCATCTCTAGCCCCTGTGAAAAGGATCACTTTTTACTGTGAATTTTGCTAGAATTTATTAACATTTACTATGATGTCATAATTTATAATGATTTCACTTGGTTTGTGTTTTAGGAAACAGTTTAGAGCACCATATCATTGAAAATATATACCGAAATTCCTGGAGAAAACTAAGGTAATACGGACCTCAAGAGACAGCCCCAAGAGTTGTGTGGTTGCACATTTTCCAAAGTAGCAAAAGACACATGTATGTCCAGTTTCAAGCTCAGTTACTCTTAGGAAATTTTCTTCAAAACTGGAAACATTAAATATCAACATTCTGAAAACATTATAAGGTTTTCAGTACTGGAAATAACTGGAACATCATGATCCCTGAAGTGATTTTTATCATATTTGATACATACCAACTTTTCTCCATACAGTGTTATTAAAATTTAAATATTAATTTATCCATAAACCTTACATATAAGGTATATATGATACAAAAAGCAGGTATATTTTTAGGCTTGGACTAAATATCAAAATTTCATTGTGGACTTTGGAATTAGTTCGTGTAAAATGATTGTGGTCATTTGTATGGTGCATCAAAATTGTACAAGTATTGAGAATTAAATATATTGTTTTTGTTTTACAAATCCATTTTTATTGATTTTTTTCATTATTTTAGCTCTATGAAGGGTACAGTCTCACTTGGATTCTATGTCCAGTGGCCTTTGCAGCAAGTTTTCTTGACAATTTGGCATGAAGCCTGCCACTGTTTCTTGGAGCTAAATTACCTTCCCCAGATTATTGCTGTTGGTGTTTTTCCTTCCAGGGGTCACTGTGTTGTTTTTCGAATTACGCACATAAACACATCACTGCCTAAGTAGAATTCGGTTTCATCTTGGTCATGAACTCCTTCAGTTTTAAGAAGAGCCATGTGCTATCTTTGGTTCTGGAGATCTCACTTATTATAGCCAGCAAAAATAGTCTTGCACCAACAGCCTTCCAGACATACTTGCTTTTTAGAAGTCCTGTTTCTAGCAGGCCTCTTCAGGTGCCAAGATGGCATCAAGAATTGAAATACGTATTTTAGTGTGACATAAGACATGTTTGCTAGACATGTCGATGGTATAACACAACCACCCCTGAATACCACTGTTTTTGTTACAGTTGTCCCCAGAGTCTCTGAGAGCATTCAGGCAAATGCCTTTAAAAGTTCAGACTGCATAGAACTAACGTTTCTACTGACAACTAGTTAATAAAGTATCAGTGATGCACATTTGCTTTCTTACAGTGGTCAAGTGGTGGAGGGACTCTATGACTTCAAAGATGATCATCAGTGTGCAGAAATCTTTGACTTCACTACACAGAGCATTGTAAACCAGAACCCCTTTCCAGGAGTACATATATGTGAAAACAGTGGATGTGCAAGAGTAGTCATTGGCCATTTGTCTCTAAGTGTGCTCCTTAAACCCGACACAGAGCATGAATCCTATGAAGAGCAGGAGTATGGAAAGGAATTGTACAACAATGTGGAATTTGGGGCCACCTCCAGTTCTCTCCCATCGTTTGAGAACTATGAAAGTACTTACACTCTAGAGAGACTGTATAAAAGTGAGAATTGTGATGAAGACTATAGATTTGGTCAAAATCTTCAAAAGACTTTGACTGAAGAAAAGCCCTTTGAATGTAAGCAATGTGGGAAAGCTTTCAGTTCTTCAAGGTACTTTCGAAGGCATGAGCGACGCCATCGGGCAAAGAAATCCTATATATGTAAGCAATGTGGGAAAGCTTTTGCTTTTCCCACTTACTTACAAACCCATGAGAGAATTCACACTGGGGAGAAGCCCTATGTGTGCGTGCAGTGTGGGAAAACCTTTGCTCATTCTCGTTCCCTTAAAACACATAAAAGAACTCACACTGTTAGGGACCTCTTTGTGTGCAATTACTGTGGGAAAACCTTACGTCATTACAGTTCTCTTCAAATTCATACAAGAATTCACACAGGAGAGAAACCTTATGTATGTAAACCATGTGGTAAAGCCTTCATTACTTATCGTTCCTTTCGAATACATGAAAGAATTCACACTGGAGAAACTCCTTATGAATGTAAGCAGTGTGGAAACACCTTCATGCGTTGGATTCAGTTACGAAAACATGAAATAATTCACAGTGGTGTGAAACCCTATGCTTGTAAGCTATGTGGGAAAAGCTTTACTTGTTCTGGTTCCCTGAGAACACATGAAAGAATTCACACTGGGGAGAGGCCTTATGTGTGTGACCAGTGTGGGTATAGCTTTACTCGATTGAACTCGCTTTTAAGACATAAAATAACCCACACTGGCGAGAAGCCCTATGTGTGTAATCATTGTGGGAAAACTTTTCCTCGTTCTGCTTCTCTTCAAAGACATATAAAAATCCACACTGAGGAGAAACCCTATGTATGCAAGCAGTGTGGGGTTGCCTTTGTTACTTCTACTGAACTTCTAGAACATGAACAAACACACATTGATGAGAAACCTTACGTATGTGAGCAATGTGGGAATGCCTTTGTGCTTTGGAGTCAGTTTCAAAAACATAAAGCACTTCACAGTGTCCCCGTTTCCTATATTTGTAAGCAGTGTGGGAAAAGCTTCACTTCTTCCAGGTCACTGAAAACCCATGAAAGAATTCACACTGGTGAGAAGCCCTATGAGTGTAAGCAGTGTGGGAAAACCTTCCTTTGGTCTTACTCCCTTCAAAGACATGAAAAAACTCATGGTGATGGGAAGCCCCATGTGTGCAAACAGTGTGGGGAAGCTTTCACGTATTACAGTCATCTTCAGGTGCATGAAAAAATACACCTTGATGATGAACCCTATAATTGTAAATACTGTGGGAAACCCTTCTTTACTCTGAACCATTTACATAGACATGAATTACTTCACACTACCATGGATTCCAGTATTTTTTAATAATGAATTAGAGAAAAAAATTTTTTTTTGGCTTGGTAGCTTTCAAAGACAAGCAAAATCACACTGTGGGGGAAAAAACCTGGATTTGTGCTAGCAAAGTGGAAGAACCTTTTGATTGTTTCATTGAAACAAACATGAAGCGCCACAATGGAAAGAAACATTTTTTTAAAAAAAAATAATGCGCAAATGGTTTTTGTGTTTAAAGTTCCTTGAAGTACATGAAAGAGAAACAAGCCTATGACTGCAAGTGATGTGGTGAAGCCTTCTGCAGTCCCAGATCATGGAGGAGACATGAGAAAGTTCACTCTAGAAAAACTTTTACTTGTATATGTGGTGTTGTAAAAAAAAAAACCCTTCACTTCTTCCCCATTGCCCCTGAACACATGGAAGGAGTCACTGTGGAGAGAAACCCTTCATATATAGGCAATCTTAGATAGTCTTCAGTTATCATCACATCCTCTCACAGACGTGAGAGAACCTACTGTAGAGAAACCTTAACAATAGGATTTGTGAACTCTTCATTATCATCCTGATAGCACTCACGAGAATGTACATGGGGAGAATTCCTATCAATGGAAAACTGATATGAACACCACTTGGTTCAGTTAACAGATAAGGAAAAAACCTGATATGAAGTGCTGATTTGCTTGAAAGAGATGTTCAAGTTTTCATTTGGCACACATGGAAACACCAGATGAAAACCTTTGCTGTTGAAAAACATTGAAAGTCTAGAGCAGTAGCAAATATAGGAAAAGTCTTTTGAAATCTTTTCATATTTGATCTCATAAATGTCAGTATTATGAAGGACTGAACATATTTTTTTCTTGTAGCATGCTCCAGGAAATGCACACTCTGAAGAGAATGTTATCAGTATAGTATTTTGTATTTATTGGAAATTTTTCCGGGGCTGATAGGAATGGCTTAGCGTTGAGAACATTTGCTGCTCTTCTAAAGGACCTGCATTTGGTTTTCAGCAACAGATCACAGGGCTCACAACTGCATGTGACTCCAGTTTCAGGAGATCCAATTCTTCCCACACACATGTGACATAGGTTCACATGTACACATAAAAATAAACTTTAAATTTTTTTGTCCCTGCCCCCTGCCCAAAAGCTTTTGCTGTGTATCCCAGGTTTCCCTGGAACTGGAAATCTCCCAGGTTCTAGCTCTTGAATGTTTAATGAAAGGTGTCTGCTTCCACATTCATTATCATTGGCTACTATTTAAAAGTTCATCTCTTGACTCATTTTTAAATTTTACTCTACAAAGTAAGCATTAAGCAGAGCCTTGTGTTAATATGGAATGGCAGCTTAAACCCATGAACTGGAGACCAGTAAGACCTACATATAAAAAATTACATTAATAGAAAGTGTATTTTATTAAATTATTTTGTGAGGTTTCTTAAAGCAATCATGTATTAGTTTAATGAGTGATATCTTTTTGTATCAAATAAGGTAGGTGCTTTTATTGTAAATTATGTTGGAATCATTGGTGAAATGATATTTGAAATATGCCAGTCCACATAAATATCTTTAAAAGGCTTTTTAGTATTTGTGTGTGAGTGTGAGAGAGAAAGAGATAAGAGAGTAGGAATGTGCCAGTGGAGGCCAGAAGATGGTGTTGTATCCTTTGGAGCTAGCGTTACAGGTATCTGTGACATGCATGATGTGTGTGATGGGATCTGAATCCTAATCTTCATGGTAGAGCAGTAAGTACTCTTAACTGCTGAGCCATCCCTCAAGCCCCTGCATAAATGTCTTGTTTTCAATCATGTTTAATGGGTGGTTAAAAATATAACTTTGTGAATATTGGAATAATCCTATTGGTTTCATTTGGCTGATTTTGTGTATATTCTCATTTTTCATGAAAAAAAAAACACTTGTGCGTGCACGAGTGTGTATGTTGGAGCATTGCTTATGTGTTGATGGTATGGTTTATATATTAGTGGTGTTCACAATGTGAGCAAAGTAATATATTGGATGTCTTACTACTCTGTTGCTATGTTATTCCCCCAAGACAGGTCTCACTGACCCTGGAACTGGACAGCCAGCCAAGAACACCCAGCATTTCTTGTCTCCTCACTCCCCATAGTGCTGGGTGTACAGATACACTCATGATTGCACAGCATGTGGTCTTACCCATTCAGCCACCTCCTCGGGCCTAAACTCCTTTTAAATTGATTTTGTCTCTTGTGTTTATGTTTTTCTCTGATGTGTTCTCACAATCCTTGAGTACATGTTCTTTTAACTTTGAAGTATTTTCAAAATCCTTTTAGTATAGCAAACATTAGGGTGTGTTTAGTTTTGTTTTATTTTTCTTATTCAGACAGTAGGTGTAAGTATATTGTAATCATAGGTCAGATTACTTTGCCAAGTTGGCTTATTTTTTACTTTTGAGAATTTCATGTATACAATAAAAGATGATCATATGTACCCACTATTTCTCCTTCCAGCTCTCCCTATATTCTCCCTCATATCCCCCTCTTAACTTTATGTCTTTAAATTACCCATTAGGTCTAGTTAGTATTGCTCATACATGCATGGGTATGGGACCATCCACTGGAGGATGGGTGACTAGTAGTTACATTTTCACAAAGGATTCTCCACACCCCAATAGCTATTCACTGCCAGTAGCTTCTTAGTAAGGGCTGGGGCCTGGAGATAATCTACCCCATCTGTACTGGGATTTGGGCTTGCTTCATTTTATAGGTCTTGTGCATGCAGTCACAGTTGCTATGATTCTAGTAACCATGCCAAACCCCCAGCATTTCATAGCAGTCCTCCTCACCCTTCAGTCCTTGCATTTTTGTTGCTTCTTCTTTGGCTTTCCCTGAGCCTTGGTGGTGGTAGGGATCATTATAGCTCTCATTTAAAGGTGAACATTCAGTCTGTTCTTGTCCTTTGGCCAGTTATGGATCTCCATTGACATCTGTCCACTGTAAAAAGAAGCTTCTCTGACCAATGTTGAGAGTAGCCAAGGTCTGTTGATGCCAGGAGCTGAGTGGTTGGAAGAAACTTGGGTTTTGCTTTTGTTTTTTTGTTTTGTTTTGTTTTGTTTTTGAGATGATGTCATGCTACATAGCCTTAGCTAGCCTGGAACTTTCTGTGTAGGCCAGGCTGTTGTCAACTTGGGCTTAGTTTTGTTTTATGTCAGGAACTGTTATTATCATATATGTGTGATTATGGCGTTTCACTGTATAAATTTTGCTTTTCATGTATATTCCTTTTCATTGTATTTCTCTAGTCATTACACTAAAGGATATGCTGGTATTACTGCCTTCTTGCCAAAAATATGTTCAATAAATTCTACTAACTCTCTCCATACATGACAAGTGAGTGGCTCATCTGTAAAAGCATTCTCCATAGAGTTTCTGACAGGACTGATGTTTTAATTTAGGGGGTCTTACAAGGATTTATTCTTAGTTAAGTGTCCCCCATGTTGGATGCACTGAGGGGCAAATGTAATTCTGCTCTTGTAATCAAAACAGCAGTTACCCAGACTGCGGTACTGGAGTAAAAGGAGATGTAATTCATGAGATGTGCTAGTCAGTTCATCAGTGAGTATGAGATACTTCCATATCCAGAATGTTTTATGGTTTTTCAGCTTGCAGATGTTCTTGGAGAATACCTTTCTGTCATAGTCATTAAAGAGCATTTCTCATTGGTGGAGGCTTGTGACGTCCTTCAGTGGCCTTGCTGTGTGAGGTGAACTAGTGTTTGGGTCCTTTATGCATTTCTTAGTTCCTATATAAACACCTTCACTAATGTTGAATATGATGAATGCAGTTATCCACAAGTTCCTAGAGTTTCCATAGGGTTACATTATGATAAGCCCATAGTAAAGTGAAAAATACAAGAAAAACACTTTACATTCAACCTAGTGATCACCAAACCTTAGACTAGTCTACGCCAACATGTTTTGGGCCCATTTATATCTTCCTAAAGGTAAACATTTAGGAGGGTTTCTTTTTCTTTACATTTAATTTTTTTAATGTTTTAAAATTGTTAGTGTTTATGTTGGCATAATTATAGGTTTTGTAATGACATTGTGACCCAAGTGTTTATGTACTTCCTTCTCCCCAGTAGTCCCGTTCTCCCTAACAGACTCACTTATGGTTTCATCTCTCGTGTTTGTTAAAGTCTACATTCTGTTCTGTATATAGCAGCACCATTTGGGGCTGAGAGTCATTTCTAGTGATTTCTAGTTCCATTCATTTTCCTGCCAAGTTTCCTGTTAAGTTCTTAGACCTAGTATAGTCTAAACTTTATGTATGCCACATTTAAAAACTTAGTTTATCTATTGATGGGCACATAGGCTGATTCTGTAATTGAGTACTATGAGTAGTAGCATATGAACCTGTATACAAGTATGCAGAGTATAATCAACTTAGTTTCCTTTTGCTATATACTAAACAATAGTACAGCAAGATCAAAAGATCATATTTTGAGTTTTTGATGAAACACTACTATTTTCCAGAGTGACCATACTAACATATATTTCCAGGAACAGCCCTACATTCTCACCAGCTTGTGTTTTAATTTGGTTCCTTGATAGCTAATCAAACTGGGGTGAACTTAATTGTATTGAGAATTTTCATGATTTATTGGCAAATTGTACATTTGTACTGATTGTTTCCCTGTGTATTGATTCAGTTACTTGTTGGTTTGCAATATAATTTGTTTGTGTGTGTGTGTATGTGTGTGTGTGTGTGTGTGTGTGTGTGTGTGTGTGTGT